TAGCGAGGACTCATATTTCTAAGCAAAGTAAATGCACGTCTATGCAATGTCCGTTTGATTGCACCAATGAAAATCGATTATTTTAGGTCCCATGCATGATCTGCAGCCAGTATACCAAAGCTCCATGCATGATCTGCAGCAAGTGTAACAATAATTTTTGCTTGGACTTACATCAGATTCTGATTTCCTAGTATATATACTTATCTATTAGGCTATTATGCAAAAATTTAAAGGCATGAAATTTTTTGTGTTTCGCTAAGCCAAACATTCTAAATTATATGAATATTATATATGTTGTGCCTCAGACTAATGCTTGCCTCTGATCACAGCTGACGCACCCTCAGATGCAGATCGTCAGGTGAGGTGCGTAACTTATCGATTATCATCTAAACTGCAATCTAACGAAAATAAGAGAGTAAAATAAAAGACCTTTTACTTGAATTCTTTTATTTTTGGATTTTTGGATTTCTTCGCGTTTTTCTCACTGGTAGCATTTTTTTAAATTACTTTGGCTTCTTTCCTAGCTCCAGTAGTATTCTTTTACATTAAGTCTCTTCAGTAACTCCGTTCTTTTCTTTGAATTTCTTTGCCTGAATTTTCACGGCCATTCTATTTCCAATTAATACTTACTTTTTTTCTCTCTATACATATAGTTTTTTTTTTTTTGCCTAAATTTTTGCGGCATATTTTCCCGTCTAAGTTTTTCAGTACGTTCAATTTTCAATAATTCCTATGCATATAATTATTTTTTGTGCTTATTGACCGATCGATAGGCTATGCACCTCACCTGACGATCTGCATCTGAGGTGCGTCAGCTGTGATCTGAGGTAAGCGTTAGTCTGAGGCACAACATATATAACAAATTGCATGCAAAACTAAGGTATCGCAATTTAATTACAAACTTATGACATAATAATAAAAGCGTATAAAATCTAATCAATATCAACTTCCAAACTACCACGTAAATCTACCACATAGATTTTAAATTTTTTTTTTTTTGCTGTTAAGGTGACTTCTTGGTCGTGTTCCTTATATTTGATTATGGTTTAACTTTTACAGTATGGTATCATACCGTATACATATTTGGAGAGTACAACTAGCCACACGTACAACTTTTGGTTGCCTATTAAGTAGTCACATAGATTTAATACACTAGTAAAAGAATTATTTATTTATCCGAATTATTTGCATGAGATTTAATTTGTTTTTTATTATAGAAAATAAAAATATGAAATACAATAATATAGTACAAATAATAAATGCGAACAAAAAAATAACAAATCACAATTTATAATTAGAGCAGTATGATTAGTTCGTTTTTTTTTTTTGCGAAAATAATAAGCCTACAAATTTCTGCGGAGGATTGTCGAAATTTATTACAATTACAGGGGCGGGAGCTAGACACCGGCAAAGTTCCATAGAGTATGGCTAATTAGACTTTTCACTCCGCTCCTCTCCGCTCCTCTCCGCTCCAGCTCAATTATAAATAATTAGAACTTCGGATATAACGATAAACTACTGATGCATCCATTCCTGGTTTTATGGCGCAATCATGTTGCGCAGTTACTTTATTTTATCAATTTGCAAACAGCTATAATAGATTTGGAATTCGATTATCGATTTCAATGTTTAGAATCGCTTCCCACCATTAAGTCAGTGTATGGATCCGTGCACGACTAATATTACCGAAGGTATGCATTATATGTAGAAAACAAAATAACGAAAATACACGCAAAGAAAGAATTTTTCGCAACAATATTTAATTAGGCATGATATGATTGAGTGATAGTTGGAATAAGAAAAGACATATCGTCAAGGGCACTGACATTTATTACGTAATTTTTTAGGGGGTGGGGGTTGCATGTGTACTATAGCAAAATCTTACATTACACATAAACATATAATATATGATTCATTAGCTAAGCACAATTGGTCTTATGTGGGTGGGGGTAGACCTATAGTAAATGGATATTATGCAATAAATGTCACTGCCTAATGCTATGCTACTTTATAGTTATTTTGCAATACTTTGAACACGTACTACTTTTATTAACTATGACCGTTGAGTCTTTTTATACGTTTTAGGATTCTAAACAATGTGGCCTTCTAGGAGACTTTAGACTACACGATAACCTCACGTCAGCCTAACGCGCAACAAATCGTAACGTTGCAATCATCCGGTCCAATTAGTTTTTACAAATTGGTAATTATATAAGAGTGTGATAATTCAAATATTTATTCTATATAATTGTGTTAATAATGTAATCTACAAAAATAAATATATATACAGTTGTTTATCAAATCAAAATTTTAGTAAATAGTTAATTCTTATACGTATATTAAATTACAAAACACACCAGTGGTGTATAACACCACGATTGCTATTTCTCAAAAACTGTCTAAATAACCAAGGTTGGATGTATTAAGTAAAAATATTCAGCAATCCAAAAAACTTACCCCAACTTTATTTTGGCTTTAATTTTTTTTTAGTCTATAGCTTATAACTTTTACCTCTAACCTTAAGTACGGAAGTACTGACAATAAAATTATTAAAAATAAGAAATATTTTGAAAATTTGAAAATGCTAGACCCCAATTTAAGTTTAGATATGAATGCAGATCACGATTTCCTGAAATATTATAACATCATGGGAAACAATTCATAAAAAATTATATGGAATTCAACACCATTGGTACGATTTATAATAATGTTAAAATTAAATTATTTAAATTAAGTTGTTTAATAAATTAAACTATAGAAGATTTTAATATCTACCAGAGATAAAATTTAACAATTATACAGTTTCTAAAAAATGGATTTAAAGTATTAAGTACAAGTGTTAGAACATAACCTTTAATCTACAAATTTTATAATAAATATTTAATGTGCTTATCACGATAAGGAACATCCTATTAACATAAAACGTTATTCACCAAGTAGCAACTACATTAAACATATCACGTTTAGTATGCCTATACAAACTTCTTTTTTCACGGATAGCTCTCGTGAAAGAACTATCCAACCTAGCACAACCCATTGGACCACTTAAGAAATAATTTGCTTCTATACAAACTAGTTTATCAAGTATTCCGTGTATACCAGCACCATTAAATTCAGATTCGTATTTTGAATCATTTCTAATAAGTGAGAAACCATTCATCGAGACCCATGTATTAAATTT